GGCTATATTTCATAAATCCGTTTGATATACGCCAGTGAAAAAACAAAAATGATTGAATTAAGGGTAAAATAATATTGCTCGGTATAAAAGTGAATATTCCTTTCACATACTATTAATAATGGAGTCAATTTATAGAATTAACTGAACAAATTGTTTATATTATTTCAATTTATATATTTCGGAACTTTACCAGTGTTTTTGAAAAAAGCCCATTTGTAAGTACGCCAGCGGGCTTGAATTCGAGTCCGGGGACTTTAGTGATGAGCCCGTGTCAACCCCTTAACCGGTTGTAATATTCCCTTCCTTTCCTTCTTGTTATCAGTGTTTTAGAGGCGGGTCTTTACGTTCAAATACCAATTTGGAATCGAATTTTCCAAATAAATTCCAAGGGCGACGCCCGGAATCGACCTCTTCACCACGCTCTGTGGTTCCATCAGGCCAGTAATTATATATAGAATTTTTAGTACAGAAATACACCCGCCGGTTTGGTTGTTGAACTGCGTGCGGCGGAAATTAGAAGCTGACGGCCCTTCACGCGAACACACGCGACAGTCACGCGAATTCAAAAAAACACATTGACCTCGAATGTATTATCAGATGCAAAAAATGAAAGACATTTTTACTGCGTCTTTGGAAATAAAAATTCCAAAAAAACCTTTCATTTCTACTTCCGTCCATTCCTTCACACTTTCCCACCATAATCTCTCTCGGTTTTTGTTTCTCACTCTAACTACTACTACCTGTATGAATTTATCTTGCCTTCTCTTCCAACTCTCTCACTCACACTCTCTCTCTCTCACCAAATTTTTCTATATCTATTAAATCATCCTGCTTTCCCCTCCTTCTCTCTTATTTTCACCTCTCATTTCCTTTTCTCTCACTCTCGCTGTCTCTCTCCCTCTCTAACTTACTACTATGCCTACCTCTATCTATTGTCTTCATCCCTCTTTTCCCTGCCTATCTTTTACTTTATTCTGTCACATACTTCTCTCTCTTTCTCTCTCTCTCTCTCTCTAACTATGTCCACCTCTATCTATTTATTCTGTTTTCCCATCCCTATTTCTTAATTTCTTCTGTTTTCTATTTTTCTCTCTCACTATCTGACTATGCCATCCTCTATTTATTTACACACACACACACACACACACACACACACACACACACACACACACACACACACACCCAGAGTCTATCTATCTGTCTTTCGATTTCATTTCTCTACTTTGTAGTCCATCTCTCTCTTTGTTTCTTTCCTTCTCTTTATTTTGCACTCTTTTTTTCATTCACTCCCTTTTTTTTTCTTTACTCTACTCTACACTAATCTAATAAAACCCACACACGCACATCACACAAACCCACACACACACACACGCACACACTCTCTCTCTCTCTCTCTCTCTCTCTCTCTCTCTCTCTTTCTCTCCCTCTCTCTCTCTCTCTGGCTTGCTTGCTCGCTTGCTGACTCGTTCTCTTTATAAACTAAGAAGTATATAATTTTGTGACTATTAGCTCCTGGTAAAATGAAAGATAGTTTGTCTATTATTTTGATGTAGTTGATAAGACATCTCAAGAAAAACCTTGCTTATTAAACCAATTTTATTGCATTTTCATAAGTTCAACTATATTGTTATACATATAATACGATAGGTTAACAGGTAAGTTCGATAAAGCAAGATATTTCCTAATAAAAGTAAAAAGCCAATTTATAATTACAGGATCTTTACGGCTTGCACTTAATAATAATAATAATAAGTTTATTGCACCAACACATGAAGAAAATAAAAATTACAGATAATTCAAACAAGAAAATAAACTTAATTCGGCAAGGTAACCGTCTGCCGGAGTTTGGATTAATTATTAACTAAGTCCTATAAAGTAAACGTACAAATGCGTTAAGTTAAATAAATACAATTGTATGCTAAATGTAATCTTTATAACAAAATACTAACTAAATATTTACCAATGCATCGGTAGTACATTAATAGAAATATCCAAAGTATTAATAATACATAAAATAAGACACATATAAACTGAATTCATGTATGTATTATGGAATTGTATAATCAATCTTTTTTTTGTCAATCGTTTCCGCTGCCGATTTCGCTAGTAGAGATTAAATATCAGTGGAGCAGAGAGTTGCGATTTCGCGGTCGATCCCTGAATTTGTAGGCCAAATTTGAGATTTATGGTATAATCAGACTGAGATAGTAGAACAAGAAAAGCAAGCAATTCACTTCCCAATTCTCGTAAATCAATGTAAACGGTCGGCATGAACGGGCCCAGAAGATACGTGACCGTCCTTACATCAACGTCGGACTTACATCGGTCCTTTATCTTTCATATTGCAAGCAAATCCTTCCAAATTATATTACAAATTATTTATTATATTATAAGCCTACTATTTCTGAACAGTTTTAATATTAATTTTTAAAAAATATTTGTTTTTGTACACTCACTAATCCCGGCGAAAAGTTTTTGGAACCATTATTCGCCATTATCATTCTTTGCTATAGAAGTAAAGTAACACTATAGAAATATACAAAGTTATTATGCGTAATTTTCAATGCCAACTTTAACCCTTAATTAATTAAGGTTTTTAGTTGAGATAAAAAAGTCAGTGTCACGAGCGGGATTCGAACCCACGATCTTCGACTAGATACGCCGCTACTCTACCACTTGAGCTATCATGACTTCGATCCACGCGGACACCAACTTCCCATCTCAACCCCACCTTTTGAATTTTCCCTCATTTTCGCCATTTTTCAAATGTCGTGCAATAGGTGTAATATCAGTGATTCTATGTATCTGATCTTAACAGTTACTTCAGAATTCAAATGAGATTGAATAAACATTTTAAATTCCGTTAAAATTAAACATTGAAAAACCTTTTATCCTTGTTTTGGATTGAGGATTAAGTTTACCTGTTTTAATTGATATTCCCAATTTAAAATATAGCGTAAACAAATATTTATTGATAAAAGAAATGAGACAAATTAAGAGTTGAATTTTCTTTTATCGAAAAAATGAAAACAAAAAATTAATTGGGTGGAATTTTTTGCCTGTCAGTGCATATTCAAGGTAAGAGTTATTAAGTTAATTTCGGCTGCTCATTAAGCTTTTTTTTGTTAAAATATAATGTTTAATGATTATTCGGAGATCGTGAGGTGCGGTCTGGTGTGAGGATCTTTTCAAAAAACATTTTCTTTATTGTGCCAACGTTTCGATCTTTATTGAGATCATCTCCAGGGCCTGGGATTTATAAAGATTGTTTCAATTTTACAAATACGTGAAGGATTTGGAAAAAAATTATGAATTTATACAATGCTAGAAAACGTTTAGATTAAAAAAATTGAATTTATACAGTGCTAGAATTTTTTTCTTCTTTGATTCAATCTAAAAAATTGTCTACCATTGTATAAATTCATATTTTGTTATCCAAAAATTTTTAGCATTGTATAAATTTATTCCTTTTTTACATCAAAAATTTTCTAGCATTGTATAAATTCATTCTTTTTTTAAATCTAAAATTTTCTAGCATTGTATAAATTCATTCTTTTTTTAATCTAAAATTTTTTAGCATTGCATAAATTCATAATTTTTGTTCACATCCTACACGTATTTGTAAACTTCAAACAATGTTTATAAATCCAGGCACTAAAGATGATCTCAATAACGATCGAAACGTTGGCACGATAAAGAAAATTTTTTTCTAAAACCTACGCCACTCCAGACCGCATCTCACGATCTCCGGAATAATCATTGACTAACGGTCACTAAACAACACACACATAATGTGTAGTTATAGTGAAATGTCAGGATCTTAATCAGTTGAAGTTATAAATAATAACATAGCTTTTTATTTATCTCTTGTATTTTTATTTTTATTAATATTATATTTTATGTCATGTATATACAATACAGTTGATTCAATTAAACGACTGTTTCAGATGATCTCCATCCCACAGAATTCTTGTCGTATGCACTTTTGTTTGATTCACTGGTGTGTGCCAAATTTTGTGAATAAAATTCTCTCTATGTATCCTAATTAGAATCCACTTAATTTTTATAGATTTTTATTAAGCAACTAAAATATCAATAATGAATTAAATATGAACGAAACGGCAAAATTATGCTTCACGGATTTTCACATTAACCGACGAGCTGTTATTCGTCGTTAAAGTTGTTTATTTTTTAATCGAAAATGCTAAATTTAACGAAGAGGAAGTCCCTATCTCGGTTTCTTAATAAGGAATCTCTTTAGAGGCGGAATTACTGAAGAGACGGTGGGGAAATTCGCAGTCCCCCTTGACCGCGAATATCAAATCAAGTTTCAAGACTTTTGTCAAAGGGAAGCCTTTGCATTAGTAAAACTTACGAATCCTGTTGTAACAGCAGAGATGGAGTTTGGACTTCACAGGGAGCGATGGCCCTGTCTTCATCTCTCGTCTAACCGCGAATCGAGTTCACCATTAACCATCTCACAGAGTTAAGTTTGTTCTCAAGCGATGAAGCCCGAGGGCAGGTTTAATGCCGCAACTTCTTTCATAGTACGATTTATAGGAAATTAGCGTCAAACTGAGCCGATTTTAGGAAGAAAGCACGCCACATCGTGTGCATCGAGGATCTGTTTATTTCAGCTTGAGGCCGTTTTGGAAAATGTGCCGATGGAGCTGTCACGGCCGGATGAGTTATACCAGTTGTTTAATCAAAACTGGAACTATCGATTCTACGCCGGTGATTGACGTGCTGGGAAAACGCGTGGGCCGAGATAAACCACAGCTGGAGGACAGATTAGCACAGCAGCCGTCGCATGAAACGGTTAGGTGCTAATCCATCTGCTTACATCCGGTCTGTCGACTGATGCAAGTAAAAATGCTGAAAACTCTTCGATATCAACTCTGTATTTGGTAAATAAACAAACCCAAAAATTCACAAAACTTCATGAATATAGAAGTATGTTTATAAAATTACAAATGAAAATATTTAAGGAATGTACCAACCTGAACAATATCTCCGTACTTTTCCCCGGCAGCAGAAAGTGTTAGTTGGCAGTGATAAGGCAGCTTATCTTCTTTTGGACGGTGTAGTTCCAAGTCGTAAGTTTTTCCTATCTCTCCGTAGTATGTTCTATTGCACGCTGTAACGAAGAAAAATCATTGTAATTGTACAGAATTTCTTTCAGATGTAGATAAGAAACGGCAACATTAACGGGGAAAATCATGAAAGTTTATAAAAATTTTATTATTGATTTATTCTTTTGCCGATATCAAAAACGATTCTCTATTCAATCAGTTTGAATGCGTTCTTTTATTTCATGTTTCCTATTTTTGTTCGAATCTCAGCGGCCCTTAATTCGACAAATGAGCTTTTTTCGAAAACACGGAAGTCCCGGAGGTTGATATGCCTTCTGTCTGATAAAAAGATACAGTCACACAGACTGGGTCGTCAAGAAGCTCTTGCAAGCCCTCCAGAGTACCCGACTAAGAATATGTATAATCCATTATATTTCGTGGTCCGATTGACCAAATAACTTCTTTCAATTAATTAATCTTTATGTAAGGTATTCGTCGAAATAAAAAAGCCAATGTCACGAGCGGGATTCGTACCCACGACCTTCGACTAAATGCGCCGTTGTTCTACCACTTGAGCTATTGTGACTTTGATCCACTCAGACACCAACTTCCCGTCTCAACCTATCTTTCGAATTTTCCCTCCTTTTTGCCATTTTTCAAATGTCGTGTAATAGGTATAATATCAGTGATTCTATGTATCTGATCTATGGTTGAGTGCTTGACTCTGAATCTAAACTGGTGGCTAGGTATAACGTTTGCTTTTTCAATAAATGGTTTCAGTCTTTTTAGAAACGTTTTTTGAATAAATTTTAGATAAATGGGAGCAATGATATGGGGCGGTAGGTGGCAAGTCATGTAGTGGTTTACTTAGTTTTAGTAATGAAGATATATATATAAAGTGGAAGGTTTATGGGCCGACAAACAGCTGAGGTCATCGCCGGCCCTCCGCATGTATTCCTTCTCTTTCCTGTCTTTCTCGCGTATTTTGTATTGAACTGCAGCCATTTGAGCATCTCGATCTGGTTACTGACTCTCTGCTTTTACTTGTATATTACGTCGTTATTTTAAAAAGCTAGCCTCTTGTTAGTACCTCAGGTTGTCAATTTAAGAATTGATACACAACATACAATACATAACATATACATCGCCACAAACATAGAAGTCTGGTCACATTCACTCCCCCAGAGTACTCGATATTCCTCGGGGCGGGGTTGAACCCACTCCATTCGCGCTAATAACTTACTTTTACTCTCCAGACGTCACACACTCACCCCAGAGTACTCGATATTCCTCGGGGCGGGGTAAATAACCCCTTCCTTTCATGCTTAAATTACATTCATTCCAACAGAGTAAAATATAAACAACATACAATACTAACAGAAAAGTCTGGTCACATTCACTCCCCCAGAGTACTCGATATTCCTCGGGGCGGGGCCGAACCCACTCCATTCGCGCTAATAACTTACTTTTGCTCCCCAGACATCACACACTCACCCCAGAGTACTCGATATTCCTCGGGGCGGGGTAAATAACCCCTTCCTTTCACGCAAATAAATTACGTTCATCCTAATGTAATAACATAAACACCACACAAACACGACACAAACACTTCAGACACAACACAAGCACAGAACAAACACACATAAACTATATACATTTGAAGATCCCTATAGCCCTGAGGTACCGGTACAGCGATTTGTGCCCGCTGCCGTGCCCCAAGACTACGCACAGGTCCGATGATATTCCAAAATATTGCCTATAAACGTCGAGCCTTCTACAATTGAAAAGGTGCTCGACTGTTACTCTATCTTTGCATAATGGGCACCTTTGAGGTCGCTTTCCAGCTAGAAGGTGCCCGTGTGTAATCCTTGTATGACCTATGCGTAGTCTTGTCAGTATGACCTTTTCCCTTTTTGACCCATTTTCCGTGAACCAGGGACCGACGTCTTTCTTAACCTGCCACAGTTTGGCAGGGTTATTCCTATTTTGCCGGCCCAGCGGATTTTCCATTCTTCTTTTAATGTATTTGAAATTAATAACTTGAGATCCGCTGGGCGTATTTGTTGGGAAGCGTCGTGGGGTCCTCTGGCTGCTTCTTTGGCCGCCCTGTCTGCTGCTTCGTTCCCGGCTATCCCTATGTGGCCGGGAACCCACACCAATACGACCTTCTTCCCAACTGTGTCGATCCCTTTTAATTGTTGTTTTATTTTGTTTACTAATGGGTCCACGGAGCTTCTTCTCCTGAGCTTCTGGACCGCACTGAGCGAGTCGGTATATACTACATATGATTCGTGAGGCTGACTTTTTATTATGCTCAGTGCGAGGGATATGGCATTTAGTTCCGCCGTGTACACGCTCGCGGCGGGAGGGAGTGACAATTTTTTTGTTTCTCCCTCCGTGTACACGGCACACCCCACGCCCTCTGCCGTTTTTGACCCGTCTGTGAAGACGGGTCTGGCATCTCTATATTCGTTTTTCAGGGCATCAAAAATTCCTTTATATACATAGTGGGGTGTCTCGTTCTTTTTTAATTTTGCCAAATCCCACCGTACGATGAAGGCAGGGAGTAGCCAAGGGGGTGTTTCAGGTAGTTTTTCTGCCTCCACTTGGTTCAAGTCTACTCCCCGCGCCGCTAATGTTTCCTTGGCTCTTATGGCCAGCGGCCTCGTACGGGTCCTCAAGAGAGAGTATCTTTCGCTGGAATTAGGGTCAAAAAGGGTCTTATGTAAGAAATGGTTCGGCTTTGCCCATTTGCTCGCATAATACTTCAACGTTAATTCTTCTCTTTTTAGAGCAGGGGGGAGAACCCCTGCATCTACACATATGCTATCGAGCGGGCTTGTCCTGAACGCTCCTGTCACTAGTCTTAGGCCTTGCATATATATCCTGTCTAATTTTTTGAGGCGCGTTCTTCTTGCCGAACCGTAGGCCATACAACCGTAAAATAATTTCTGGCACAGCAACGTTTTAAAGAGGGTCATCAATACCTCTCTTTCTGCTCCCCACTTAAAGAACGAGAGATATCTCAGGAGGTTGATGACCCGCTTGCACTGGACTTCGATGTTCACATGTGGTTGCCATCTTAGCTTCTCGTCGAAGATCATACCGAGAAACCTTGAGCGATCCGCATACCCGAGAGCTTCGTTCCCCATCCGGAGCTGAGGGGGATTATGTTCCCTCCTCAGTCTACAGAAGTGAACTGCCCTCGTCTTTTCGGCCGAAAAGGAGAAACCTATCCTCTCGGCATTGGCAACCATTTTGTCCATTGCGGTCTGCACTCTTCTTCCAACTTCTTCTAGATCGATACCATGTGCGTAAATAGCAGCATCGTCGACGTAGAGCGAGATCATCATTGGAGGCTCAATGCCATCGACGATACCGTTAACCGCAATCGAAAAGAGTGTAACCGACAGTACCGATCCTTGCGGGATCCCATTTCTTTGCTCTCTCCTTTCGGATAGCGTACTTCCCAGCCTTACCCTAAACCACCGGTTGCTGAGGAAACTCCTAAGCAATTCCGGGAGTCTACCTCTCAGGCCGAATTCGTGACACCTCCGGAGGATGCCATACTTCCATGTCGTGTCGTATGCCCTCTCGAGGTCGAAGAATACAGCCACGCCATGTTCCCTATTCAGGAACGTGGTCTGCACCTCGTCCTCGAGAAGAACCACCTGGTCAACGGAAGCATGTCCTCCCCGGAATCCCGCCTGATGTCGGCAGTAGAGTCCTCGAGCCTCCAAATTCCATACTAGTCTTCTGTTTATAATAGACTCGAGGACTTTACCCAAGCAGGTGGTCAACGATATCGGCCTGTAGCTTGATGGCTGGCTAGGGTCTTTACCTTCTTTGGCTATCGGTACTATGATGGCTTCTTTCCATTGCTCCGGATATGTTCCGGCGCACCAAATGCTATTAAACAACTCTAAGAGGCGACGCCTAGCCACCTCTGGGAAGTGGCGAAGCATCGCGTTAGGGACGCCGTCGATACCAGGAGCTTTGTCTTTTAGATCGTCTAAGGTTTCTTCTAGTTCAGCCATCGTTATTGGTCGGTTGTACTCTTCCTCGTTTTCGCTAGTAAAGTCCAGTACAAGCTGTTCCATTCTGCGCTTTTCTGTACGGAACCTTTCGGTGTATGACCGATCGCTCGACACTTCCTCGTAGTGATGAGCCAGCGCATCGGCCACCTCCTTCGGCTCCGTGATGATTCGATCAGTCACTTTTAGGGCTGGTATTATTGGTTTTTTTGTCTTCCCCGCGATCGCTTTTATTTTTCCCCATATCTGTATTGGCGATGTTTCGTTATTTAGCCCCGATACATATTCTTGCATGCTTCTCTTTTTCTGTTGGGTCAATAACCTTCGCTCTTTTGCACTTTTTATTTTAAAATCTTCTAAATTGGCCGACGTGAGACTTCTTTTCAATTTTTTAAGCTCCCTTTTCTTTTCTTTGTTTGCCGCCTTACACTCCTCAGTCCACCACGGCACCCCCTTTCGACGAATGGGGGTTCCTTCTGTTTTGGGCACTGAGTGCTCGGCGGCCTGTTTTACATTTTCTGTGAGGATGTGGACGTCTCGTTCCACGTCCCCACTCATATCTGAAATATTCAGGGCAATTGTGAAAGTTTTCCAGTCGGCCTTACGAAGGTTATATCTGATCGCGGGGGTATAAAGCGTCTTACGAATGGTAGTTTCAATGATAATTGGCACGTGATCGCTGTTATATTCGTCGTTTAAAGTGTTCCATGAGAGGCTAGCGGCAATGGACGGAGAGGCGAAGCTCAAGTCGATCGCACTGAATCTCCCAGTGTAAATACTTATATACGTCGGATTTCCATTGTTAAGTAGCACCATACCGTATTCATCTATAATATCTTCTATACGCTCGCCCCTGGAGTCCGTCGTCTCCGACCCCCACATTGTATTGTGGGAGTTGAAGTCTCCTAGTATCAGGCAGGGACGAGGTAGTTGATCTATTATTCTTTTAATTTCTGTATGGTGCCACCTTCTATCTGGGAGGTAGATATTGCATAAGATCATATCCAATGGAGTTTTTATTTTTATTGCGATCGCTTGTATTTCAGTATGTAACGTCAGTTTGTCGTATTTGAATTTTTCGTTTATGTATAGCGCTACTCCACCATGCGCCCTTCCACCGGGTTCGGGATGGATTTCCCTGCTTACGCAGGAAAAACCCCGGAGGTGATATTTCTTCCCGGGTAGAAGATGGGTTTCCTGTAGCGCTATTACCATTGGTTGTTTATATCTGATTATTCGTTGTAATCCTTCTTCATTATTTTTTAACCCTCTCACGTTCCATTGCAAAATGTTTTCGTTCATCATTATTGTTAAAAGTACAAATTATTATAACTGGTTGGTCTATGGCATGAGTCATGTCTCTATTGATTGTTCTGCTGCTGTTGCTTGTTTAGGTGGCTTGCGGAGTTTTCCCTTGGGCCATCCTTTCTTGTTTTTCTTTTTAACCTCCTGGAAATCTTCCGAGTCGACCGAGGTAGTCGACTCGGTCCCGGCGTCCCTCAACTCCCACTCCCCAAGCTTTTTGACGTCCTCCGGATTTACTCCGGGAGGCATCCGCTCGAGGGAGAGAGGCGAGGGACCCGAGATGTCTCCAGGGGTCATTATTGGTGGAGGGATAGTCGACGGCGAGGCCGTCGGACCTTCCGTTTTATTACCTCCGCTCATTGGCGGAGGTTTATTTGTTCCTCCCTCCAATTTTGAGGGAAGGTTTGGGGGTGCCGTAACACCCTCCACTGGTTTTACCCCGTCTTTAGGTCGTGGAGGGGCACCAGTGGAACCCCGGAAGGTGTATATTGGTGGGGATGGCTCCGTTTGGACGGCCATCTCCACGGTCGAACCTTTTTTTGGTGCCGACTGTCCGGCAGCCCTCGCATAGCTCATATTTGGCCGTGAAAACGCTGAGCTGCGGACTAGAGCTCTTGCTTCGACATGACTCAGGCCTTTTTCTGCCTTTAACCTCTGTATTTCTCTTTCCTCTTTTAGTATTGGGCACGCACTGGACCTTGCATGGTGCGGCCCATCACAATTTACACACCTCGGCGGATGGCGGTCCTTCGTGCACCGGCACGCCACACGAGCAAATCGTGTTCTGGCTTCTACATCGAAGTGCTGTGTGGCCAAACTTTAAGCATTTGAAGCATCTCATTGGTGCCGGTACAAATGGACGGACCAAGAATCTTTGGTATATAGCCCGTACTTCTCTTGGCATCTCTGGTCTGTCAAATGTTAATATGAGAGACGCTGTATTTATGAGACCCCTGTCCGTTTTTCGTTTTATTCTTTTTACTTCAATCACCCCCTGGCTTGACAGTTCTTCTTTGATTTCCTCCTCAGAGCATATTAGTAAATCTCGTGCTGAGATTACGCCCTGGGAGGAATTCAGCTTTCTGTGGGGGGAGGTTTTAACAGGGGTTGCGCCGAGGTGTTTAGTCTCCATGACCATTTTGGCCTGCAGAGAGTCAGTAACCTCTATACTCAGGATTCCTGATGACAATTTCTTTAGATTTTTAACTTTTCCCATTTGTTGGTTGACTACACGGCAGATCTGGATGGGGGAGTCATCTTTAAAATCCCCCTCTTTTTTTTCCATGATCCAGTATCTTGTGAAATTCTTTGTCATCTGGTCTTCACTATCACTTCCGCTCTTTTCTTTTCTAATTCTTTTCCTTTTTTTTGGACTCCGGCTCAAATGGCTGCAGTGTCCTCACTAATTCGGTGTTACCTTTTCCGTTCCTAGCAGTATCCATACGTTGGGTGGCGCTGCTCTCTCCACCAACTCCAACGGGGCCCGAGTGAATAACGCCGAGGGTGGCCTGTGCCCCCGACGTCACCGGCATTTCGCCTTCCGGATATACGGCGTTTTTTTTTGTATTTTTCGGAGCTTGTTTGTTTTAGGCCAGGGGGAAGCTACCCACCCTGGCCCTAGCCGATTAGTGGGGCTGCCACTGCAGGTGAACCGGCACACCTCCCCCTCCTTAAAGCCTGGGACGCCGGGAGAAGGAACAGGGAGGAGGTTAGTGTTGGGGAAGGGGTTATTATAGGAATGGAAGGTTAGGTAATGAGGTTAGTAAGGGGATAAAGTGTTACGGAAGGCCACCAGGTACAGGAGGGGTATTGGACGCAGTTTAACCTCTTGCCCGGGAGGTAGTAATGAAGATCTCAGCAATTTTCTAAATATTAGAGACGTATTGCTGTATAATTAAATAAATTTGTCAATTTCAAAATTCCATTTATGGAAATTTTTCAAATTTTTTCCTTTTATCCGGTCGAATCCTGGAGCTTTCGTAAAATTTAGGTTGGTTTTTATTTCTTTTTTAATGTTTAATCTTTTGTAAAATGTATAATAAAATATAATGTTTTTCGTATGGATTATCTAAGAGACGATTTGAGCTTAGGTCATTTGGTTTAAACCTATCGGCCAAATGAATTTCAAATGTGTTAGCTTTGTCTTTATTATCTCTTACCTATGAACCGTCTTTTTATAAGTGGTGGAATTTAGATGATAGGTTTTTAATTTTCCTGCAGCTTTCCAAAACGAATAGTCGGTTTTAGGATCTGCTTATATGATTTATATGTAAATTAAAAAAATAATATAATTTAACGAAAAGCAGCAAAAATATGACAGAAAATATACAACCTCAAGAAAAAGAGAAATCAACCCAACCTTCTATTGTGGTTTAATAAAAAAAAACCTACACAAAAGTTTAATTTGATTCGAGTAGGCTTGAATTATACTTGGAAAACATCTAATTATAACAAAGATATGTTGGCCTTTTATGAGTCGATACACTCTGGGTTTGTGAAATTGTGAGAACGGGTCAAAAAGCGATAAGGCCATATTGACGAGACTACGCATATGCCATACAAGAATAACGCACGGGCAACCACTGGCCAAAAAGCGACCGCGTAGGTGCCCGCTATTCAACGGGGAAATATTTTGGCATATTACCGGACCTGTGCGTTGTCTTGGGGCACGGCAGTGAGCATGCTGTATCAGTACTCAGGGCTATAGGGATTTTTAAATACATTTAGTGTTCAAGTGAATTTGTGTGTCTGTGTTATTAATGCTAGTTTATTGGAATTGATGCAATTTATTAATGATTATTTGGAGATCGTGAGGTGCGGTCTGGTATGACGTAGGTTTAGAAAAACATTTTCTTTATCGTGCTAACGTTTCAACCTTTATTGAGATCATCTTCAGGGCTCAATGTGTTTGTTTTCTGTGTAGATGTGTCATTAATGTGTGTCGTGTTGAGAGCGCCCACGTGCAAAAGGAAATTTTTTCTAAACCTAGTCACACCAGACCGTATCTCACGATCTCCAAATAATCATTAATTAAAGGTCACTAAACACCACACACGTAATATATTAGTGTAAATGAAGGGGTTGCTTAACGCCCCAAGGTATATGGAATACTCTACGTCGGTATACGGTGGCGAAATTTATGACAACCTGCGGCAAAAATGAGAGGTTAACATTTTAGGATATCGACTTAGTTTTCTTACAAAAGCAGAAAGTCAGTAATAATTTATTCATTTAGACGCTCAAAGGGCTACAGGCTGATAAATAAGCGTGAATGACCGGAAAGAGAAATAAAACACAAACAGAGCCGTGGATGAACTCAGCTGATTGTCGATCCTAAACTTCCCATATTATTATTTATTCAATTATTCTTTTTATCTAAGGTTTTTGGTTGAGTTGAAAAATTAGTGTCACAAGCGGGATTCGAACCCACGACCTATGCTATTCGCCGATGCTCTAACCATTTGAGCTATCGTAACTTCGATTTCGTTTTTATCTCAACCAAAAACCTTAGATAAAAAGAATAATTAATTGGAATAATTTATATGGTCAATTATGACAAATAAGAAAATATGGATTATTATTATTATTATTATTGTCAGATTGTGGCAGGCTATGTTGTAACTGAAGTTATACTTATTTTCCTTAGTAAGTTCACAACTAATTATAATTAATTAATCTTTATGTAAGGTATTGGCTGAAATGAAAAAGCAAGTGTCACGAGCGGGATTCGAACCCACGACCTTCGGCTCAATTCGCCGCTGCTCTAACCACTTAAGCTATCGTGACTTCGATCCACTCGGACACCAACTTCCCGTATTTTTCCCTCCTTTTTTCCATTTTTCGAATTTCATTCAAGTTGCCATTTTTAGAATCCCGCTCGAGGCACTGGCTTTATCCTTTCAACAATACCTTACATAAAGATAATTAAATGAAATAAGTTATTTGGTCTATAGGACCACGAAATATAATGGAATTAATTTTAATAGTAATAAATGCCACTACAATCGTTGGGCGTCTTCCTCAAAAAAATATTATCATCCTTGTTTGTTTTCCGCGATCTTTCAGAGCCGAGATCCTTTTTCCACCTCAGTTTGATACAATTGTACGATCGAATGAAACTGATTACAAAATTATATTATTTATTACAATGCACTTAGGTTGGAAAAAATAGTGTTATTTTTGATTAATTTAGTTTTGTTGAATATGACATCTTACATCGTGTATAAAAAATTTGATTATCTCAAGATATAGGGCAGGTTATAAAAATTCTTACAAGAAATAATTTCTTCCAAGAATACATCAGTAAGATTGAGTAAAATTTAATTGTTTAACGAATTGGAAAATTATTATAATTTTACAACACGTTAACGTATATCTTTACTTTTATGACTTAAAACATTTGCGATCGTAAATTCTGTTCATGTTGTGCTGCTATTGAGGTATCCTCTTCTATCGACGACGTAACCCTTGTTGATGGTTAACAATGGTTTGTTGCTCGCCTTAACCCTCTCTCTGAGGATGCAGAAAGGCACCATCGCTCCGTTCATGCGCCTGTCGAAAATCTTGTTTTGGAGGAGGGTGTACTTCCATGAATGAGATGAAGGCGTTTTCTTTGTGAGGGGTGGCCGAGAGGCTTTCAGAGCTTCGATGGCCCGGTGGGTGAAGTGATTACGGTGCCACTGTTCCCAGATGTCCGTCCTGTACAACCTGGCGAAGTAGTAGAGATCGCTGCGCGCTTTGTCAAGATCGCGGATGTCAACTTCGATGGAACGGAAAAAACCGTTGATCATCACGCTGAACTCGACTACGGTGATCCTACTGTAATCGTCCGTCTGGATGACTTTGGCCTTTATCCCGGGTGGGAGACGGAAGGAGAAGTCCCTTACATCGATGAGGTCTTCTGGAGGGTAGGCCGAAGGAGAACACGTCTTGCTCCGGCCGTACTCGTCCATCGCCGTCTTTGCCATCTCAAATTTTCAGTCGCACACAATACTATTTTTTTTTAACTAACCAAACGAGTGATTTTTCATTTTATTTAGGTATTCCTATCAATCATCTGTTAACTATTTTTCATTGTTTTTAAAACAAACAATGTATATTTGAACAAAAATAAATTAGTCGGAATGAGTCCAGTCCTGTTAAAAATATAAACTAGGCAAAAATCTTGTCAACTTTTCTTAATATTTCCATGAGAAAAAATAATTATTTTTTACAAAATAACATGTTAGATAACACGAAAATGTTATTTGAAAAAAAATCACATTGCACCAGAAAGTGGATTAAATAAAATATTTTTTATAAAAAAGGCATGAAAAAATATAAACTCAAATATCTATTGACTCCTTAAAGCAATAATTTCTTTTAAAAATGAGAACTTCTACCATGTTTTAATGACTTCTACAGACTTTTTCGAACGCTTTTTACATCGTTTATCCAAGTACTCTCTGGTATGTTTCTCATACTTGAGAATTTCTTTCTTTAAGTTGGCTGATATTTTGGATTTCTGGCTTCTGGAGGTCACAGACCTCCCTAGCCAAGGCTTTCCATTAACTTTTTTGGGGATTAAGGTCTGGGCTATACGCTGGTCAAATATACCAACCGTTGTTTCGTGGGCCGGGCTGTGTGTCGGTGCCTTTGGAGACAATGTGTGTGTAGTGTTTAGTGACCGTTAGTCAATGATTATTCGGAGATCTTGAGATGCGGTCTGGTGTGATGTGGGTTTAGAAAAACAATTTCTTTATCATGCCAACGTTTCGATCTTTATTGAGATCATCTTCAGGGCTCAAATTGTTTGTTTTCCGTGTGGATGTGTCATTCTTGTGTGTCGTGTTGAGAGTACCAGTGAGTATTGATGTTTTATATTTAAATACGTTGGATTTTGAAAGGGTGGGGAGGGAATTCGGGAATAGAAAGACATTTTTATATGAGGAGTTTATAACATATCAATATTTATGCTTAATGCATAAACTAATTAAATTTTATAATTAATAAATTAAATAGAGATATTAATATTATAACATTTCAATATTTATACTTAATGCATAAATTAATTAAATTTTATAATTAATAAATTAAATAGATATTAATATTATAATATTTCAATATTTATGCTTAATTCATAAAGTAATTAAATTTTATAATTAATAATCTAAATAGAGATATTAATATTATAACATTTCAATATTTATGCTTAATACATAAATTAATTAAATTTTATAATTGATAAATTAAATAGAAATATTAATATTGTAACATTTCAATATTTATGTTGAATGCATAAATTAATTAAATTTTATAATTGATAAATTAAATAGAGGGGTGGTTAGGGATGGTTAGGGATGGCTGGGGATGCATATGCATATGCAGCATTCTATAAAATTTTTAATATTTTTTTGTTAATTTAAACAATGTTTATAAATCCCAGGTCCTGAAGATGATCGATAAAGTTCAAAACGTTGGCATGATAAAGAAAATGTTTTTTTTAGAGACAACGTTTATTTGATTATTGAATGATGAATAAGAAGTGTAATCAGAAAAGAAGAGGATCTTAATTGCCCTCCTTGGCAGACTGTTCATTGCATACTAGTCTAGTCTATGAAATCCAATGAGATCGTCTGTACCAATTCATTTAGTATTTAGGATTTAATTTGAACGTAGAGAACAAGATACCGAGGGAAATTCGTCTATAGCTACACTAAAAGGAACATTAATTTTCATGTTTCAATTTATAATTCAATTTTAAATTTCCATAAAAACAGATTTCCTTTATATTTCTCCAAATAAGTTTCTAATTTCATTTATGGATGACAAATGGTTTAAGCGGCAGGATTGAACGTGGAATCAGATTTAAACATTTCGAGCTGGTGATGTTGATCGGGCGATGGCATTATCGCTTCGTTCACACTTGTTTGGATCGAGGGACAAAGCATGTAACGGTGCGGCAATCGGCCCGACGGATCGGGATTTAGAATCAATTTTCCAGGATTATTTCAATTTTCCGGCACTCCTGATCTGGCCGCTCGTTCGAATACATATGAAAAAAGTGCTAAAATTTGTTTCGATTACTTCAACTAGGAAAATCATAAATTAAAGACACAACGGATAATGATATAAATAAAATCCTTTATCCCCGAGTTCATAGCTGAAGGAATATAACAAATTTATGATTTAATTATAGTAGATTTCTATTAATTTGAATCCGAACCGTTCCATTGTAACGTCCAGTAAGGTCATTGCGTTGTTGACATAATTGGACGTTACTAGAACCAATGCAATGCAAATGCCATACTGCCATTTCATCGACATTGCCCCAGCTTTTGACAAGGTCCTATTATACTAAAATTGTATCTTTCTGATCGATTCTGCAATGTGGAATTTCCCTCAAACCTTGTAGTGTTCTAGGTGTGTTCCTGCCGAATAATTTTTCCAGACATTCCTGCTCCCACAACACTATTGGAGATGGCTGTCTGCAGCATTAGCCTAAATAACATCCCTTTTCCTTTAATATTAATGGGCTTACACAAAACCAAATGGTCTCTTTAGGTTCCAAGCATAGAAAATTCTAGGCTAAAGAACCATCGCCAAATCTGGCAAACATTGTTACAGTTAGTCGGGGTAATACTCAGAGCAGTGATACTACTGTAAACCATTGGCATATGAAAAAACACCTACACAAAATGGGTGTATTCACTGATGATCTCATTTGTAGGTTTTGGATAGAGAAGGATGAAACTGCCACCCATATTAACTTGAAGCAACCGCTCAGTAGAACTAGGATACAAAATGCCCCGTGAAAAGAACTGTATGCAGTAACAATAATTACCTTATCTTTCTGAAAAGGAAAAATAAATAATTTGACTGAACTAAGGAACTAGAAAATCTACAATATACCACAAGTTTGCAGTGCCTGAGGAATGCCAAACCCCCACTTCCTCCTATTCATTATATACTATTCTTCCACAACCTCTAGCCTTTGTGTACTAGCGGAATAATATCTTCATGACCCTTTTGTTGAAAGAGGTAAACATGTGGAGCTCTAACCTGAAAAAGCAGGTCTCCCCAAAGGATGTTTTTACTGCCATCCTTTATATTTTTAATGTTCCTACATTACCACCATCGTTTCAGCAAACCCAGCAGAGATTTGTAGAAACAAGACAATCTCCTCTCTTTGAATGATCAGACTCCATGAAACCAAATCCAAACAAACCTTCACCATCCGCCTTCTCATCTCTCCTCCTATCCACTGCAACTCTATTCCTCAGTCAGCAACAATTTTCAGCTATTTGGAACTGTACTATGGCAAAAGAGTTTTTGTACTTCCAATGGCCGTATAACCATCTCCAAATTGTGCTTGACAACAAATCCAGCCTCCCACCTATCAATATCGCCACATTTGTACGTGTTACTGTTACAACTGAACTTAAAGTACGAAAATTAACTTGAGGTAAAACGAAACGGTCCAACCTCCAAAGAATCTAATTACACCAGTCCAAAATCCCGTCCATCTCACTTTTCTTTGAAACCTTTAGAAAGTCAAGAGACTTCCATACTACTCAGGATCCTTATCACAATCCCCAACTCCTGCCATCCAAAATCCTTCCTGACAATCTTCCAAGACGATTAAATGCCAATTGTCTGGAGTTTTATTCCTTAGAGAGGAAAGTAAATAGCGGTGCGTTGTAGGTATGCTTCCAGTGGATAATTAACCAAAGATTAATTTAAATACAACAGATTTGCTTGGTGCTGTCGTCAGAATAATAAAACAGTATTTCTATCTAAACAACTCAAACATCCGGTCCTTCTCAGTGTACAAGGGAAAAAGTACGGTTATCTTCAGCAACCGTCCAAGCAACATCTAACAATTATTCTTAGATTCTACTCGAGAGCGAATTTAACTGAAATCTTCACATTTGACTAAAAAGGTTAAAACTAAACAGACTATTGAGATAAAGACAAACTAACCATCGGCAACACTTTTATCAGATCTTTCTGTACGTATGGATTCGAACTCTGGAATACTATTTCTGCTTCCTTCTATATTTCTAATAAAATAAAAACCTGGATATTATTTGTGTTTTTAAAACAAGTGGTCTAATCCCGAAAAAGAAAGTTTCACATCGAGCTTATTGGACATACCAATCCGTTGGCTCTCTACTGTCCTTAAACCAGGAATTTCTTAATTTTTCCAGGAGGGTTGAAACGACAGTGGCCAAAAAATTTCTTCTAAATAGCGTACATATAAACAAAGACGATGATGTAAAAAAAGTTAAAATTTTATCAGCTCATCGAAAATAAATTAACAACGAAATTACTACATGCAATAATGTAATAGCAGTAATTAAATAAATTATCAGGATTAATATATAATTATACGAATCAAAAATGATATCAAAATAAAAGAATCTCGTGACAGATTTAGCAATAAGTGTAAAATCACTGGTCTCAAATTTCGGTCATACCCTGTTTACATTCTGAATAATAAACTTCGACTGTCACGCTATCGTGATACGCGTACGATTTCAGTCGAATTATCTTTTAAATGAGTGATGAAAACAATATAACCAGATAAGTTTGTCAATAATTGAGTCTGACTTAAATTGACGTTGGCTGAAATCCCTGTAAGAAAGTAGGCCCCCGGCTCTATTGTGCTAATCTGTTTGACTTATTTATCGTTTCAGCTAATCCAGACCTCCATTATGTTAACCATTTATAAGCTTTAGAAAATTACGATGTTTCGTTATGCGAGGGAAGGCAGATGAAAAATTAAAACAAAATTTACGAGAAGTGTAATAAATAGCATTTACAATCTAATAAAAGTTTCAGATTTCTTCTTGAGTTTTGCGAAATGATGACTTTCGTTTTTCTTATCTTAATCTGTCTAGTTTGCCGTTTTGGTCATACATCGGCACACCTGGTTCATGGATAATGAACATCCCTCTGGACACATCGTATCGCCTTAAATATGTATATGCTTTTAATGCTACAGCTAAGGACTCACTTAACTACGTTTTGTCTGTTGAGTTGTTCATTTTTTTTAAATCTCACTAACAAATCGGACTAGGTATACAATAAATG